AGGTGTGCCCCCCACTTTTTTTTATACTTTTTGCAGGATTTCGAATGAACAAAAAAAAAAATTAACCGATACCGGAACCGGACCGGTACCGCCGGTACCGGTACCAAAAAATAGATACCGGAACCGGTACCGAAAGTGGCGGTACCGGTACCGGTTCCCGGAACCGTTGGCACGGCGACGACGCCGGTGATGGTGGCGGGTATCGGCGGTACCGTTGCCGGTGACGGTACCGTACCGGTACCGTGTCCACCCCTAACTCCGTATGTATAAATTGGTCAGGTCAATGTGAGTAACAATTTGACTAAAAAATCCAAAAGAATCCTCTAAGATAAGCCGGTGGCCATACGCCGGCTCGCCCCCACAACTGATGGGATAACGGACAGCATGAATCTCCGGCCTCTCTGCTCTGCTCGTAATTCTTAAACCCTCGCAGCCTCGCGAATCGCGCCGTCGCCGACTCAACGCCGTCCAGCCGGTCCAGGTCAAGCCGCAGCCCAACAGGTAATTAATCTTGGTTATTTTATAAAAATAATTATGTAGTTATTACGGAGTAATGGAGTGTGAACTCTGAATTGAAGTATAAATGTATGAATCGTATATTCTTATGGTTTATATATGAGCTAATGAATTCTGATTAGTGATTACTAGTATGGATTGTGAATGTGTAGCTGCTTTTAGTTTTATACTTTTTGAATTTTGATTACAAATTGATTATGACTACTCTTCTTTCCAGCAGCATAGGAGAAAATGGCAATTCCGCTCAATCCAGCAGTACTAGCATTCCCAGCAGATGTAAAGCCCTCATCTTTCGCCTCTTTTTCGTGGGCCTTCAAATCCTCAACCCCGCCGGATCAGGTCCTTAGAGGCACGAGGAGCTTGGTCTTAAGGGCTTCATCGGTCGTGGTAGAACAGCAGGCCCAGAAGACAAAGGTTTCTATCGTCAGAATCGGGACTAGGGGAAGGTACTGTTAATTCTTTGCTCGATTGGATCATCACTTCCGTGAATAGTTATAGTTTTTCAACCAGTTATACTGAGTGTTGGATTCTATGAGCTCTTATCAAAATAACACCATTTACTTCACGGGGATTGAAGCTCTTTTCAAATTGTACCCGGGGATTTGGCTATTGGGACATCCCTAAGTACATGGGGTCCCAAATGCTGACCTTTTGGGATGACACTTACTTGAAAAATCTTTGTAACATAAACTTTGTGATGCTCGAAAAACGACAGTGAATGGGTTTGCATTGCACATTGTACTGAATAGGCATTAGACGGACGGCCTCCATGGCGAACCAAACATTTATTTTTTCTAGCATTTTCCAGAATCCATACTGATGTACTTCAACCGGATGTCTTATCAAGTAGATGATAAATTGGCGGATTTTCGGAGGATGTATGGGTAGGGACGAAATTGGAGAGAGTGATATGAGTGTATGCGTTCTATTTTTGTTATTAGTATTATGCTGAATAGTGGAATATCAAGAGAGAAGGATGGACTTAGAAGTGATGGGATAAAATCCAAATCAGTGCTAAGAGATATACACGCTTTCTCTTAATTTGGCGCCAATTTAATACTAAAGGATATGCAAACCTTTAGATTAATTTGGGGTTAACTCTAGAGTTTAATTAAGATATACACACTTAATTAAAAGTCTAGAACCTAAAACTCACACTTAAGAGAACCACTCTCAAGATATAGAATTAGGATTTAAACTAAAGCATCACACCATTCTAGAGAGATACTCAAAAGAGTAGGGGTATATTATGAATCAAATCTGCCTTACTACCAAGGTGATGTCCAAATATATATAAGGTTACAAGGCCATGGAGGCCACACATACCCTTATTAGTTATTATCATTACATGCAAAAAATAAAATGGAATATGAAGACTTCAATAAAGACTTTAGATCCACATGTTGGTCACAAGGGGTTACACACTTCCTTAAATCAAGCAAGCATGTTTTTTTATTCGTCTAAGACTAGTCAAGACCATGTGACTGTCCATGTTATTTTCCCTTTTTGATTGTTGAATATTTCTCCCAGGTGGTTGGGGTTGGAATATATATAGTGAGGGTTATTAATTAAGCTAAATGGTGGTTATTTTTTAAAGGAATCTGGCCAGGGTATTTAGTATGGAAAAATAGAATTATTTTTGTGGTTTTAGGCAGTTACTTTCTGCCATTTGGGCAGGAGATGATTACAATGATTAAATTTGGACTTTTGGGAAGACTAATTGGCTCAAAGTGAAGAAACTAAGGGAGTAAGGGGTGGTGTATGGATGTGATGATATGGCCAGGAGGGTAGAAAATGATGAAGGCTAAAGTTGGACTTTAGGAAGACTTTTTGGGATGGTTTATGGCTATGATGATTTTAGCCAGGGTGTAGGGAACAGAATGAAGACTAGGATTGGACTTAAGACTTTGGATTTATCGGGTTATGCCTAGATTAATGTAGATTTAGTGATTGATATCTGGCTATTATGGAGGAGGTTAGTAAAAAGGGAAGACTAATATTGGACTAAAGACATCTTTAAAACACTTTATTTTGGACTTCTTTCCCACTCAAATTCAGCCATGGTTTAATATGATCAGGAAAGGCTTTATTTTTGAAGTGAAAAATAAGAAAAGAAAAGGTTTTGGATTTATAGAGAGCGGTGGGTTTTAGTGTGGCTGCCCTGGGGTACATCACATACACACTCTGAGAGCTTTTAAACTGGAATTTCAATGGTTGGGGTTCCTATTTTAGTCGGGCATTTCACATCCTGTTGGTTCTTTAGTTGGGTGCTGCTCTTTTCACATCTGGAATCCAGTTTTCGTGAATGGGTTGTGCTTTATAATTACCCTGCATTCCCTCTGGCACACTAACAAGAGTGCAATTCATTCTGTTTCCTGATGCAGAAAAGAGTGCATTCTCAATCTGAGGGCCATTCAGGAGTTTTTTAGTTTGTTTTTCTCAACCCAGAAGAGAGTGAGAGAGAAGTGTTGTGATCTTGTTTTAGCAGCCAATTTATTTACTTATCTCAGGCTGAAAGTACGACTGGCCTTAATCAGAAAAATGTGTCCTTTTTGTAAAACAGTCTCTCCTAAACTTGTTGCTATAAGTATCTTAGCCCTTGTTTGGTTGGGGGATTTCAGAGCGGAGTAAAGTGGTGGAGAGATGCTTTTATCACTCCGTTCTAGTTTTCTTAGTATATTCTAATTGTGATGGTTAGAAAGAAAGTGAAGGTGGAAACAATACAGAAGTACATGATATAGCTCTAAATATATACGAAGTGGTTATTTTCTAGTTAAACACTGACAAATTGAAATAATAAGTTTGTAAAGCAAAAACCCAATCCGCTTTTCCAAAGTTTCCCATTTGAACAAGTCCTTAGGAATCAATGAGGTTTTCATTACTAGTCTGCTTCCTCCGTTTGTTGGACAACAAGGTTCTCTTTAATCTTACATTCCATTTTAATGCGTTTCTTTGTAGGACAGTCCACTTGCCCTTGCTCAAGCATATGAGACACGAGATAAACTAATGGCCTCACATCCTGAGCTGGCTGAAGAAGGTGCCATTGAAATAAAAATCATAAAAACAACAGGCGATAAAATACTGTGTCAGCCACTTGCAGATATCGGTGGGAAAGGCCTGTTTACTAAAGAAATCGATGAGGCCCTTATTAATGCAGAAATTGATATTGCTGTTCATTCCATGAAAGATGTTCCAACATATCTTCCTGATAAGACAATTTTACCCTGCAACCTTCCTCGTGAGGATGTTCGAGATGCGTTCATTTCTCTGAGCGCTGCTTCTCTTGCAGAGCTTCCCACAGGAAGCACTATTGGGACCGCTTCATTAAGGAGAAAGTCGCAGATACTTCACCGCTATCCATCACTCAAGGTGTTTCTTGTTCTCCTTTTTTGATTGATCTGTTTTGTTTGTTGGAGGAGTTGAGAAGATTGAAGAGTGGGAAGAAAGAAGGGAAAAAGGATTTTAAGAATTGTGTGATGTGAGAGATGTAATAGAGAAGGGAAAAGGGCAGAAGTCCATCTTGTTTATAAAAAGACAAAAATACCATTATATGACAATAATGATATACTAAAGGGAAATGTACCTTTGGAAACACAAAAGGGAGCATCTAAGCTCTTTCTATGTATTATTTGGAGAGAAACCAAAAAGTGGGATATACATATACCCTATTTTTTTTGTTTCCTCTCAACGTCTCTTCTGCGTCCTAACTGCTAACCAATAATCTCTCTTTCTCCCCATTTTTTCTCACAAAACCAAAATTACAATCTGTTCTAAAAAGCACCTAGAGCCCAAACAGGATTGTGCGGGGTCGAAATAAGTAAAATTTGAACCATGGCCTAAGGCATAAATATGGATTTTTAAAGAGCTGGAAGGAACTTACCTACAATGTGTTTGGTTTTAAAATCATTCACACATCTATGTGCAGGTGCTTGAGAACTTCAGAGGCAATGTTCAGACACGGCTAAGAAAATTGAACGATGGGGTAGTTCAGGGAACATTACTGGCATTAGCAGGTCTGAAGCGCCTTGATATGTCCCAAAATGTTACTTCCATTCTGCCTATAGAGCACATGCTTCCGGCTGTTGCTCAGGGAGCTATAGGAATTGCCTGTAGAAGTGATGATGAGAGAATGGTATGTGCCTTTATGCATTAATGTACCTCAGTGGCAGGCTCGGCACTCCATGTATTAATATGATCGATCTTATTTCATAATTGCAGGCCAGTTACATCGCCTCGTTAGATCACGAGGAAACCCGACTTGCAGTTGTTTGTGAGAGGGCATTTTTGAAGACATTAGATGGATCTTGTCGAACTCCAATCGCTGGGTATGCCCATCGTGGGAAGGATGGAGATTGCATTTTCAAGGGTTTGGTGGCCTCCCCAGATGGAACTCGAGGTAACATCAATACCTACTTGAACCCCACCCTCCTCTCCCACACACCCACACACACAGTTGCCTTCAAATGCAACACCCCACCCAACTC